ACTGATTATTAATGACCAAACCAATGCTTAGCTTTTCCTTCATGTGGTCTTGTGCAACAGGTAATAAGGCCGCCAAACGCACAGTTATAGAGGATACCATGATACATCATGAAGTTTTTGAACTTAGCTATAAGAGAGGTCCCTCATGAATTTGGAGTTGCACAATTAGGGATGGCAATTTCTCCATCCCCGCCCCGCCCCGTTTTTAGCGGGGATGGGGATCTTTTTAGCTAAATGGGGATGAGGATGGGGGCAAATTATGAATCCCTGCCATGACCGGGGCCAGAGGCAGGGATGGGGTAAACCCGCCCCGATTAAGTGTGAAGTTACTAATATACCCTTACATATAATAGTTTATTACTAAATTAGATTTATTATATATATGAAAATAAGAAAAAATGTGTTTTTTTTTAATAAAAAAAATTATGAGGCCGGGGCCGGGGACGGGGATAAGGTGTCGGGGGCGGGGGTGGGTATAGGGATTCTGGTAAAATTTTAAGCGATGATGGGGGCGGGGATGGGAAATGAAAAATGCATCGGGGATGGGGATAGGGAATGGAATCCCTACCCCACCTCGCCCCGTTGCCATCCCTATGTACAATGTAGGATCCATTCCTATTTGAGGTATATCTTGGAGGAAGAGATCAAATAGAGTACAAGGGAAGTCCTCCTAACGAGTGTTCAGTAGCACATTAATATTATGTGAGGCAATGCTAGGTTGAAACACTGACGACTTAATTTAATCGTAAATCCAACCAAAGATAAGTACTTCGAAGTGGTTGATCTTCGAAAGAGGGAATAACTTCCTCCACCGTATGGCCTTTATAGCGAGGTCCGTCTTGTAGAACTTTTGTTCCTACCTTTGTTTCTGCAATGAGTTCTATAGGAGGTTGTTTCAATGTCCACATCTGTTGGTTTTTATCAAAAAAATCCACATAAGTGACATAACTCACCCACATGGAGTTTGACTTATACACATTGGGACATCATTCTTTATAATTTTACACGTTAAAGTTTGGATTTGAAATTGGAGAAAATTTAGTTCAAGGTAAACAAAAGTTGTGGTTATAAATTTTTGTTCTTGAGTTTAAGATAAAAGTCATCCTTATGTCATCCCATTTTAGAACACGGATTATGCGTATTGGTTTCCTCTTAGATGTCGAAAGAATCAAAGCAAATGGCCTTTAATGCAATGATGGTATGATAAAAGGAAGATGCTAAAGCAATGCATCTAGATGCAAAACAAGGAAGTGGTACAAGGTTTCAACACACAAAATGGAACATTGGGGGAACATGGATATTGCCTATTACAAAGCTGATAATAAAAAAAATAACCAAGGGAGTAACACAAGTCAAATTCCAATTTTGTGTAGGATTAAGAAAGGCATGATATTTACAGAGTTTTTTTTTTTTTTTTTAAAGTAAAAAATGTATAAAAAGAGCTTAAAGGAGGAGTGCATCCCAAGAGAACTACACAAGGCCAAAAAGAGCCTCTAAGCCTTCAAAGAGGCCAAAACATCGACAATATCCACTAAAGATCTAGAATCTCTTCCTGAAACCCAACAAAAAAGAGTGGAAACAATAGAGAATTTAAGAATAGAAATAAATATCTCATTTCCATTGAAATATCTCCTATTACAGAGTAGTTGTCAAGGAATGTCCTTTTGAATTCTCTAAAATTGATTACCACTTGGTGGGATGGCTCCGTTGTGAGAAGAAGTCCAAGCTACATCCTGGCCAACAAACTAAGTATGTTGAAGGGTGATGTCAAGAAGTGAAACAAAGTAGTACTTGGCAGTTTGGAGTGGTACTCTTGATCTAGATATCAGAGTGGGACCATAAGGAAGGACATGAACGGTTGGATGATGTGGAAAGTAGCAGAAGAGAGGAATACAAGGCAGAGCGCAATTGGCGAGATTACCATTATGGAGGAAATATCTTGGAGGCAATGTTACATGGACTCACTTACGTATGTCAGGTGTGGGTATATATTCACATGTCGGATGTGTCAAATTTCCAAACAAAAAGACACATGGACACTGCCAAATGTTTATATTATTTAGTATTCTATTTTATTTTCTAGGTAAAATAATGTTTTTATGCAACATAGTGTGCAATATTGACATTTCACTCATTTTGAAGCAATAATACAATAAAATTAAATTCATGGACATGGTTTTTAGGTGCATGTCCAACCAAAAGTACCGGACACATATCCTATACCCATGTTCAAGCAATGTGTGCTTCACCTACCATTGAAGAGTCCATCTAACATAGCTTGGAGGCAAAAGTCGAGGGCTTTATGTCCTAGGGAAGGGGACAAGAATATGAAGTTATTCTAGTGGCTCGCGAATGCTCACCGAAGGAGTAATCACATTGGAAGAATTCGGGTTGATGGCATCAAGCTTTGCAAGGAGGAAATAAAGCAAGGGATTTCTACTTTCTTCCAACATTTGTATATGGAGCAACATAATTACATAGATGGAGACCCTTACTAGATGGCTTAGAGTTTGGTAGTATTTTGGTTGAAGTAAGAGAATGGCCAGAGAAGCCTTTTGGGGTGGAGAAGGTAGAAGTGGCATTGAAGAATTGTAAAGGACATACTAACAGGCCAGTGGCCTAACGGTACCAAACCCATATTCAGGAGTTTGAGACTCAGTGGAGGCACGTGTGTGTAAGTTCCAAGCAAGCAAGCAAGGTAAAAAAAAAAAAACAAAAAGCCCTTGTAATGGACACAAGGCACCAAACCCATATAGTTTCAGTATGGCATTCTTTCTACATAATTGAGAGTGGCGAAGGCAATGGGATCGCTTAATACTTCCTCTATTATTCACGGCCACTTTGAGAGGAGTATCAATGCCTCTTATCCCCAAAAAGGGTGAGGCTATGGAAGAAGTCAAGGGTTTTAGTTCTTTTTTTTTTATTTTTCTTTTTTCCTAGTTGCTAGTCATACAACCCCTCCCTAGGAATGTTGCAGGGCCTCACATGCGTGATCTTCAACGCTTTATGAAGAAGCCGGCCAATATATATTAGGTGACAAATCCACATCTAAATGATTCAAATTATAGCTCTGATGAATATATATTGATTGTATATATAGATTGGTTATGCCAACAAATTAAGTATTGAAGTAAGAGCATCTGATTTGCCGGAAAGAATGGAGTGGACAAAGTTTTGTATAGGATAATAGAAAAACCATTTGTGACAAATATTGCGTGTCACAGTCTCAACAATAGTCACGTTTGAAGCAACCTTTTTTTTTTAGAATTAATACAATTTGGAAACTTGTTGTAATTAACTTGTGAGATCTCTGTAATGCTTCAAGTTTTGGGTATAATTAAATCATAGAAAACTTCTTGTAAATAACTTGTGAGATCTCCTCCGTAAAACTTCAAGTCTTGGATATAATTAAATTAGAGACAGCTGGTGAATTTCAAAAATTCTATGGAAGGCTAGGGTTTGTATTCGTATAAGAACTTCAGGTTCTTCATTTCCCATCAAATATATTTAGAGCACCGAATCGACACATTGAGTTTGAAATAGAAGAATTAATATTTAATTAGTTAAATATAATTATATATTCTATTTATTTTAATTATATTAGGAGAAGTGTGTGATACTATATAGCATGTGCATTTGAAAACAAAGATCTAAGTCCTTGTCATATCTTATCTTTTGGATGAAAACTAGGTCGAAACTCTTAAGAAACTATTAAATAATGATTAGGCACATGCTTAAGTAATTGTACAAGTATTGGACATAATTTTACATTATGTGTGTGGGTCAATCTCATGCTACATCATGCATACTAAATAGAAATAATATCACGCACTGTTTTCAAGAATTAAATGGATTGAGATCAATGGTAAGATGATCTGACTTGGAGTGTCAAAACAAATAGAAATCCGCTTGATTTGATTATTTTTAAGTTTTTGATTAATTTACAAAACTATTAGCTTATATAGACAGACTTTGAATTTTGATTTTAAAATCAGACGATTATACCATCTGTTTTTTATAAGCCTATCGAAATGAACATTCGAAAAAGATAATAATAATAGTAATAAAAAAGAGAGAGTCGACCTTAGATGCGTTTTGCTCAATTTTTATTTTTTTAATTTTTTTTATTTTTTTATTAATATGATTATTGGGTATTAGTTTAAATGATATGATATCTCCTTTCTGAAAGAGAAGTTAAGTATATTTATCAGAAGAAAAAAAAAAGAGGTTAAGTATTCCAAATCTATTAAGAACAATATTGTAAGTAGTGTGGTATATTTACTTGAACTTTTGATAAAATATTTAGTACCGCAAAATTTTTGGAAATCACAATTTATTATCCTAAATTTCCCACAATGCATCAATAGGATGTTTTTCATCTCATTTATCTAAACGTTTCTATGAACAATACTTGTCATGAATATGATAACCCATATGTTTTTTTTTTTTGGACAACCCATTTTAATTATTTGGGTCAAATTGATCCCAAACTCATTATACAATTACTTTATTTTCCTTTCTGTTTTATCTCTTACTATTATATAAATAAAAAATACATCCGCAATAATCTCATGACACATCAAACTATGAAAAAAATTCCTTCTTGTAAGGAGACAATTATTGTTCAATTTTATGTGAAGTACGTATCAATTAAATGAATAAACCTATAAGTAGGTCCAAACTTGTAAGTTCCTGGATTATATTTTATCACTATAGCTGCTATTTAAACTGAGAGAGAAGTTGATCTTGAAAGCCAATCATTTTCTTAAATTATTTTAAAATTTTCTACTACACATATGATTGTTCCTAATCTTAATTCTTATTTTCTTTTTACCTATTTTTTTTTTTTGTCATGTCGACAATGCCACGTTTAGCTGAGTAGACATTTTGCATTATGTGTTCAAACATCAAACATGCACGTAATGGGCGCATGAGGAGTGTTGTTTCCATCTTTCACGATGCGACACTCTATTTAAGCCAATTTTGGGAAAGCCATTCACCACACACACTTGCAAAATAACACAAACACAGTGCGTCACAGTTTTTACACACAGTACTGTTTGAATGCATAAACCTTCTAAGAAGAGAAATGAAGGTTGAAGTTGAATTTATTTCCCGCGAAACAATCAAACCATCTGCTCCAACTCCTCACCACCTCCAAAACTACCAGCTCTCCTTCCTTGATCAAATATCCCCTCCAGTCTACATGCCTATGATCCTCTTCTTTTCAGCTGACTCCACCACCAAACTGACCAACACCGAAAAATCCGACCGCCTTAAGATCTCCCTATCGGAGACCTTAACTCGCTTCTACCCACTGGCCGGACGACTCATTGACAACACCTCCATAGCCTGCAACGACGAGGGAGTCCTCTACACCGAAGCCCGGGCCAAGTGCGGACTCTCACAAGTGGTCACTGACCCAAACCCTAATGAATACAACAAATTTCTTCCCCATGAACTGGACAAAGTGGATGACACGTTGTTGGCCATTCAAGTCACTTACTTCAACTGCGGTGGAATAGCCGTCGGCACATGCTTTTCGCATAAAATCGCGGATGGCTTGTCCATTGTCATGTTCATCACTAGCTGGGCGGCAACTTCTCGTGCGGAAACCAATATTCCATGTCCAACATTTGATGGAGCCAAGTTCTTCCCACCTCGAAACCTGTCCGGGTTTCAACCACAGACAGGGATGACCAAGGACAAGATTGTGACAAAGAGGTTTGTTTTTAGCAACCCTGTCGTGGCTGCTCTCAGAGATAAGTACACTGAGAGCTCCGACACAGAAAACCCGATACGTCCAACACGTGTTGAGGCGTTATCGGTGTTTATCTGGAGCTGTTTTGTTGCTTCCACAAGAGCATCATCAGGACATGATGAGAGGCTCTACACAGTGCTTCATGCGGTGAACCTCCGTACAAGGATGGACCCGCCACTGCCGGAATATTCTTTCGGGAATCTGTACCGGATAGCAATAGCCACGCCGTCCATGGAAGCCGGGGATAAGTGTCGAGGCCTTGTGAGGCAGATGAAGAGCACCGTAAAGAGTATTGACGGAGAGTTTGTAGAGAAACTCCGGGGAGGTGAGGAACACTTGAATTTCATCAAAGAGAGAGCAGAGAAGTTCATGAAGGGAGAGGTGGTTTCGTTTAGGTTTACAAGTTTGTGCAGGTTGCCTTTGTATGAAGTTGAGTTTGGGTGGGGGAAGCCGGTGCAGGTGGGTTCCACAAGGTTGACATTCAAAAATCTGGTGACTTTCATGGACACCAGAGAAGGGGATGGTATAGAAGCATGGATAAATTTGGAGGAGAAAGACATGGCTAAGTTTGAAGTTAACAAGGAGTTGCTTGCATATGTTTCATTCTCAAAGAAGAGGTCCAGAGTTCCAGAAGCATGCGCATGTGTGATTACTTAACCTTCCAAATATATATATGTATGTATTGCCCGAAGAAGTAGCTTCAAGTGTAAAAGTAAGTTTGCTTGTTTGAGTGTTTGTCAGTAGATTTAAACTCGTGTGAATTCATATATCTACGTGACTTCAAGAAAAAATAAAATAAAAATGTATTTTTATTATTTTTACTTAAATGTGAAATTTAAAAGTGTAATTAAACTATTGGAACTGAAAATTTGATCAATTCAATGCGAATCTCACACTTTTCATTTTGAATTCTCTTAAAAACCAAAGCTCTAAACCCCTACTTTTCTTTCTCTATTCACAATAGCATGAATATTACTATTAGATAGAGAATATATAAACTTTGAAAAGGTCGTGGACGTTTGGTAACTGGGTGGAAGATGGTCCCACGTCCTTTCTTATGGTAGAATTTTGACTTCTCATAAAGGACAATGTGGTCCTATACAAACGCATGCCACAAGGTGGCTCAATAAGAGAGGGAAGGGAATGGGTTCACATATTTTGGCAACATGAGGACACATTAATTCTTTTGCTTTTTAATTTTCGAAATGCCAAAAAAATAAAAAAAATAAAAAGAAAAGAAAAACATGAGAACACATATTTAACCAAGTCAATATTGTATATAAATTTATTTTTGGGATAAAATCGCATAACTTCTATCTATTATTATATTGGTGCAAAAAAATTCCCATTTAAATTAAACAGCCCCTAAATAATGAAAAAATTATATTAGGTTGTGAAATGACAAAATTAATCTTATGATTTGATGTTAAATTAAAAATTCTAATAAAAATAATTTTAAAATTACAAAAATACCCTTTTAAATGGGTCTTCTTCCTCATTTCACCCTCCAAAAATTACCCAATCAATTGCAATTATGTTAAAGTGAAACCCTCCAGATTTGAATGGCTTTGACTAAGTAGTAGCAAAAAGCCAATTCAATCTACCAGACACGGCAGAACTGGTACCTCAAGTTTTATATCATTAAACCCTGTTATTCCCCATCAATGCTGATCCATCAAGATAGTCATTTCAGACCAAGAAAAAGCACAATTTCACTTGATCACCTTTGATAAATAGGATAAAGGAAGCAAACGAAAAGAAAATGAAATTCAAAACTCATGCTTTAAGCAGTTTATTCATTACACACACACACACATATATATATATATGGTTGAATTAAGCTAAAAACAATACTGGCAACAGGTTATTGAGGGAATTGTTTCCTCAAACCCCAAACAAGTCAAATTTAAAAGTCAAAATTTGAATTTTTTCCTTTTCTTTTTCTACATTTTCTCAGCAACCAAAGGATAAAAAATAACCACTAATACCTTTAGTTTTCTGAATGCAAGAAGTCAAAAAGTCTTTAACTAAAAAAAAAGAAGTCAAAAAGTCCAAATTAGAAGAGAAATTGAAGGCACGATCCCAATCAGCTTCCCTGAAGTACAAATATTTTTTAAAACATCAAATTCATACTCATCCCAACATTACATACATCAAAGAAACACTAATCCTCTGTTCCGTTGCCGAGATTAAAAAAAATATATATATATCTCAAACTCAACTCGAAAAAGAATTCACAATTACAATTTCTCTTCCCAAATTTTCCTGCAGTTTCCCCGGCAACCAAACAGAGGCCACAAGAGATATGAACAACTCACAGATCCTTAACGCAAAATCTGGAGCGATTACTGATTTCGCTAGTGAGAATCGATTTGTTGACGTTCGAGAGCTGAGCGTAGACATGTGTAGGTGCAAAATTTCGCCCAACCAATAATGATTGAGAAAAATAAAATAACTCACTCAAAAACAATAAAAATAAATAAGAACAGTGTGTAAAGAAGCGTAGAATTGCTTAATCCTTTATTGGAGGTCTTAGCCTCTATTTATATACAAAAGATTGTAAAATTATGGAAGGACTCGCGTTGCTTGCCCTCCAATTCTTTCTATATAACCATTCTTTTCTAATAGAGTTCTTTCCATTGTCGAATCTTCCATACATAGAAATTGCCTTGTACAGAACTTCCTATCCGAATTTTCCTTCTACAGTAAATCCTTCAAATGGTAGGATTTGTGCATTCTTGGGCTGAATATATTTTGATCCGGCTGGGCTTGGGTAACAGGTCGGATGTTAAATACTTATACGCTGGGCTGACGACAAGCTGGGCTAATGACTTCTTGATTCGGCCTTGATGGAAGTTGGAGGATAAATAACAATGGTCTTGGGCTGTAAATACCCTCAATTTGGGCTTGAGCATGATGGGCCTTATATGTCCTTGGAATGTAGATATGGGTAGTGGTGACGTGTGCGCTTTTTATTGGAGGGAGTTTTTTTCCCTCCACACTTTGCCCCAAATTCCATTTTTAATTGAGTGACGGCTCCTATTAAAGAGGGAATTGAAACCGGTTTTTACTTCGCTTCAGAAACGGTTCGTGGTCTTTCGTTATTACTCCGTCACACAAGATTTTGCAAGAGTTACATTTGCTCTTGCTGCACTTCTGCGTCTTTCATTCCATCGTTTCCTTCGCTTTGTCAGGTTAGTCTCGCATCTTTCTCTTCAATCTTTCATTATGAGTACTTCATCTACTCCCGAACGTGCAAACCTTGGGGATTCTGAATCCACACCTTCATCTTCCCCCGTTCGCATTAGGGCTCCCCCTCCTAGGGTTTCTACAGATCGCCCTTCGTTGAATCCATTAGGTACTTCCCCTCTCCCAACCGAAACATCCACCTCAGGCTCTGATTATGTTCTTACCCATGAAGAGAAGAAAGCAATCATCTCTATTCGCCGCATCAAGTTCTCTATTGCTTCGGTAATGGAAGAATTTGATATTCCTGAGGGAGTAGAAATTGCAGAATATCCCGAGGGTGCCGATTTCACCTCCGGCGAGGGAATTGAGGAGGATGAGTTGCTTCTTTTGGTAGGGCACCTTAACGCCCTCCGATTCCCTCTTCATCCCTTCTATCATTTAGTTTTCAATAAGCTAGGTCTCGCCCCCCTTCAGGTAAATCCTAATTTCTTTCGCATCCTTTCGGCACTGTTGGTGCGCCGGAAATTAGAGGCTCTAGATTTGACCCTTGCCGACCTTCTGCTTACTTACAATATATCTAAGCATGGGACCGAGCCTGGTCGCTTCTTTTTTACTTCTCCCCTTCATCAGAGGATATACACGAACCTCCCTTCATCCGAAAAGAAATGGAAAGAAAGGATGGTTGTAGTTAAAGGAAAATGGTTCGTGTCCCAATCAATTGCGCTCCCTATCCCGCGCAAATTCGGGAAATTAGGTATAGAATATTTAACCTCCCTTCATACCAAGTGTTCTGGTTGTTTTCTTTGCCAAGTCTTAATATTTCGTCGTATTTATGAGTTTCTTGGTGTTTTTTTAGCTACATTCCCATCCTCCGCAGCAAGGAACAGACTTTCTTTTCTTGAGGAACGAGTCTGGAGTGACCCCTCGCCTATCGAGGACCTGCTAACTTCTTCAAACCTCAAGGACATTACCTCCAGTGCCGTTGCTGCAGACCTCATGGATCTGTCTCTACCATCCTTTGACAGTTTCCCCATGACTGAGGAGGAGATACAGAGGGCTGAGGCTTTAAAAAAGAAAGCCGAAGATGCCCAACCCTTGGTCGTCATTGGATCAACTGAGGATGAAGTGGAGATTGAGGAACCACCATTGAAGAAATCTCGCCTCAACCCTTCATCCTCTAGCAAGGGCAAGGTCCCTTCTAAAAGCAGAGGGAAAAAGGCTGGAGAGGCCGAACCTGAAGATGAAGTCAGGGCCTTTGTCTTGGCTGAGACTGGGGCTCCTTGGACTCCTTCCTTCACCAGGGCTGACAGGTCAGTCCTTCACTCAGGGGATTCTGTGATTACAGACCCTTCAGCTGCACTGGCGGTGGCTCGAGGAATGTGGCTCCCAAAGGACGAGGAAGCCATCAGCCAAATGGGGTTGGAGCAACTACTCCCCTCTGCCCCAGTCCGGGCCATAGAGGTTCGCATTGCTCCTTCAGCATTAAGTTACTCTTGCTTGCTTATGTTTCTCTTTATGCTTATATTTGCTTCCTTGTTAAACAGAGTCTATACCACACCATGGCCCTCTGCGCCACTGCTGAAGCTCAATCCCTCTCCATCAAGAAGTTGGAGAAGGATCTTGACAATGCAGAGAAGAGAGCCACTACTGCCTCTACCAATCTGAAGATAGCTTCTGAAGCCAAGGATGCGTACAAGAGGCAGTTGTCGGCCTCTGAGGCTAAGGTGGATTCTCTTCAGGCCGAGGTTCAACGCCTAACCGAGGCTCTTACTACTTGCTTCAAGGCGGGGAAGCAAATGCAGGGGCGCTACTCTTGTCTGGCGCACCTGGCTAGTGCTAAAGCGTTTCAATCTGGCTACAATCAGGGCTCAGGCCCTAAGACGATGGATCCGGACGCTTTTGACAAGAAAGTGGGGGTACACTTCCCATAAGATGAAGGGCCAGAGGCTTTGGAAGCTGAAATTCGCTTTGCCGAGATGGTGAAGGCGCACCTGAAGGGTACTCCTAGCTCCCCTGCTCCTGCGGCTTCAACTCCTCCTACCTCAAGTCCTAATGTAGTGGATGCTTTCGAATCTACTCCCTTCGATCCGAAGAGGAAGTAGAGCCATGTATTTTGTTTTTATGAACAGCCTGTTTTGGGATAATGAATATAATTTTTCGTTTTAGGCTTTGCCTGACTTGTTTTTGCTGTATGCTCTTGATACTATTCATATTTCTCTGTCTGGTAATGTGTTTAAACACTAAACATTGTCTCTATGCTTCGGATTTATGCTATCCGTGAAAACGTAAGGATTGTGGGAAGAAGGAGATCCTTTTAATAGTTTAGTTGATATCGCAGGATGATTCACATGGACAATGATTTAATTGTTAAATGACCCTCCTTGCCTTTTACTTGCCTGTGGTAGACGTATACATACTCTTTCCTTCTCATGTGTTCCTGATGTGAGGTGGAGTATGATGAACTTATGATATATCCGCATCCACAGGGTTTTAAACACTTGGAGTCTAGTGGAAAGAGTTCTGATCCGGGTACCAGAGGTTTAAAGCGAATTA